TCAGATCGATCTGTCTCCGATTTTTGAAGACACCATGTATGTAGGCTTCTCTGCTTCAATAGGTCTGCTAGTGAGCTATCATTATATACAAGGTTGGAGCTTCAACATGAGTGGACAACCTCAATCTCTCGATCTATCTTCTCTACCCTCTCTTCCTGGACCCAAACAGAGCTATACGACCTTTGTTTGCCGTTGTCTGAATTGCAGCTTGGTTATCAACTATAGATAATTGGACCCTGTATGTACAACTTGATATAGCATACATACAAGTGAGATTCCGTAGGAAAGAAAAAACCACACTCACACACCAACTAAAAAAAGAAAAGAAGAAGAAGAAGAAGAAGAAAGGAATGGCAATAAAGAATCCATGATGAGTAAACAAAAAATTCAATTATTTGGTCAGATTTAAGCTAGTGATACAACCTTCTTTCATATCTCAACATAACATCTAAAGTTCCATTAATTTTTTTTTTTTTTTAAAAGAAAGATATCTTGAGAATGAAAGTGGGACAAGGTTGAAATCTCAGCTCTCATTGCATTTTACTCAGACTACAATTAATATTCTTTTCAGATACATTTTATCTGTTGTCCTCACAGCCTTCCTAACTTCCAAAGGATAGATTTTTCATCACATTTTGGCGGGCTGGTTTTTGGCCATTGGAGGGAAAAGGGGAGTGTTTGTCTCTCTCTCTGGTTGCAATCTCTCTCTCTCTAACTTTTACTCTCTCATTTTTTTGTTGTTTTCTTTTTTATTATTTTTTTATTTTTTATCAGGCGGTGCACAAAACGACAATTTCTGTTACGTCCGTCAAAAATTACAACATGATATAAAGTCTAGGGGTTTAAGTGTTACAAATGAAACTATAAAGAGGTTCCGTGTTTTTGGGATAAACCACAGGGGTTAAATTATAATTTACCCAATTATTTATTTTATGTGGAAAATTGTTCCAACAGCACGTCATAGCCTTTGGTGTTAATCACCTCTGGAGCAACATATGCAGGGGTCCCACAAGTGGTGTGTAGAAGCCCATCTTGCTGCTTGGACTCGGCGAAGCCACTTAATCCATAATCGGAAACCTTCAGATTCTCATTTTCATCTAATAGTAAGTTTTCGGGTTTCAGATCACGGTGATAGACACCCCTACTATGGCAGAAATCGTCAGCTTTGATCAACTGTTGAAAATACTTTTGAACAACGTCTTCCTTCAGCTTTCCTTTAGCCGCCTTGTTAAAAAGCTCACCTCCTTTAGCATATTCAATGACAAAGTAATCTTGGTTTTGGTGGCCATGACTTCATAAAGCTTCACAATATTAGGATGCTTGACTAGTGTCATAACAGAAATTTCTCGTTTCATCTGATCAACAAGCTCAACACGCAAAACTTTCTCCTTGACACTCTCACCCGTTTTGAGATTTCTCGCGTAGTAGACCTTAGCAAATGTTCCTTGGCCTAATAATCTCCCTAATTCATATCTTTCCATCAGCACACTTCCTCTTGCATCGATTCAAGAGCTACAAAAACTAATATAGCAATATAGAGAACTCTATGTCCTGCTAATTTGTGGATGAAACATACCTACTCAACCGTCTTCAGAAACATTGTGCGTTAACATGAGTGGAATTTTGTAACTGATTGTCTCATTGTGCATTTAGGCATGTCGAATGCTATAGGTATGATCTAAAGGTCCAGTCAAATCGAATATGAAGAAAAGTGGCTCTTGTAAGACCAAAACATTGTCGACTTCAGAGAAAGGATTCTGAATTCTCAAGAACATATTTCAGCATTCCATGGTTCTCTCTTTCAAAGATCAACTAGAAAATGCTGAAAAGGTATCCGTACGAGCAACTGAAGATCCCTTGGTAGATATGTCAAAGATCAAGCAGAGAATTGTCAAGGCTTAACTTCAATTTCGAAGCCTGAACACCAAGGAAAAAAGGGTACATGTGTATGTTTCCACAGAATAAAAAAAAAAGGAAAAATTGAACGAAAGAAGTCTCACAATTCACATAGATGCTGATTCAAACAAATGGTAATTACAAACTTATAAGAACCACTGCACCACATTTTTTTTGTTGCGATTATCAGATTCCAACAGCGACAATTTCTAAACAAAATTATCTTAGAATGTGGGCACAAAGGAAATGGACAACAAAATTGCAAGATGTCACTGTAGGCAATTCAGCTTTTATGTCAGTGTAAAGCGAATAGAAATCTCAAAAACGAATAGAAATCTTTCACATCTTACACATCAGTTAATCAATTTTTTCTCTCTTCTTTCTTTTTCTCTTACATCTTAGACATCAATCAAATAATTTTTTTTTCTTACACTCGTCTATTTAACTATAAAAAAAATTACAAATCATTCCAAAACTGTTTTCAAATTATACAACCAAACCAACAAGGTTTCAAATTTTACAAATTCTTTTCAAATACTGTCTTTTAAAATTGATTGTCAAAACTAAACCAAACAGAGCCCAAGAGTTTCACTTCCCAGTTATGGCCTCCAATGTACTAGAAAAAGAATGCAAATTGTTCATCATGCCAAACTTACACAAAAAGAAGGAAAAAAAGCAAATTGTGAAGCATATTTCTTCCCCGCGTGAACCATCCCCCATTTTGCTAGACAGGGAAAATAAAATTTTATAGTATATAATTATCAATAATACTCTCTGATATCAGAATTTGAAACTTAGATGTTACTCTAATGTCATGTCATGTCATGTTTGGGTCTTGAATTTGTGGAGTTCTTTTGTTTGTTTTGGTTTGGAAAGTAATTGAGAAACAAATGACTAGGAAGGAATGTCACAAAACATCCATTTAAAAAAACACATATAACCAAAAAAAAAAAAAAAAAAAAACTAAAAGTAGTTTCTTTTGCCATCCAAAAACATAGTGTGAATGAAAATTTGGTGACGGATAATATTGAGAAAACCCAGAATTCCATAAGTAGATAAGAAATTGAACAATAGGAAGAACAGATGATTTGATTTGTGTTCATGAAAATTAATGGCTAGTGTATAAAAAAGCATTTCAATAACCATTTCTAGAAAGAACCGCTGAACGATCCAGCATGAATTATTATTCACAAATTTAAGAGAATTATCATTTCATTGGAAAGCTAAGAGATGATTATTTTATTCAGAAATTCTCTGGTTCAATATTAGAAATTAAAAATATGGTGGATTTTTCTCTGGGACAATTGCAATAAAATAGTACGAACTCAAAATAATTGCAAAGAGATGGAAGCATAAGATTTAATTGCACAATCTAATCCATAAATTATTTGCACTTCCATAACATTACAATTATTTTGTGGTGTTGTCATTTTTTTGCAATTCTCCTTTTTTCTTTTATCCTTAAACTATTATTTTTCCTATTTAGTTCTATAGTTTCTAATTTTTATTGATGTGGTTCAATTGAAGAATATTACACAAATCAATTACCGTTGAAATCTAATTTAATGAGGAAAAAGAAGCTTTTTTAAAATTTAGATAATTTAAATCATATAACAAAACACTCATTTTTCTTATAATATTGCAAAAATTACACTCCACAATCAATTTAACGAGTGTTTATTTGTATAATTTAAGTTTTTTAAATAGTAAAATTATCCCCTTTTTTTCTGTTAAATTAACATTTGACAATTATTAATTTGCACAATCGTTTTTAATTGGAACACTTGGACAAAAATCAAAAACTTTAGAAACTAAATAGATCAAATTAATAGTTTATAAATAAAATGAAAAAAAATTAGTAATGGCTTAGAAAGTCCGATTTTGTTCATACACGGTGTCGATTACACATTTTTGATGCGTTAAAAAAAGTAAAATTTACACTTTTAAATAAGATTAATACACTTTTTAAATATGGGTTGTACTATTTTGGATTAATCAGAATTTATGTACACACTCACTTGGGGTGTGTGAACAAATTCATATTATAGTTTAATGAATAAAAGTGAAATACAAACCTTAAAAATAAATAAGGAAAATTACAAAAAAAAAAAATAATAATAATTCCAGGGAGTTAGTTTTTTCAATTTCAATCTTAAATTTTTAAAAATTATTTTTAATATAAATCATTCACATATTTTTATTAAAATAAAGCGTCAAAAAAAATATATTTTAGTCGTTAAACTAAATAAAAATGAACACTTTTCACATTTTTTGTACACTTAGATTCATTTTTTTTTTTGGTGTACTTATATTTAGTTTAATGACTTAAATATATTTTTGAACACGGTTTTACTTAACAAAAGTAAGTAAATAATTTAGATTGAAAATAAATTAAAAAAATTTAAATTTAAATTGATAAAATTAAACTTATGATTTATTTTGTTAAAAGAATCCACACGGTTTTTATTTTATTTTATTTTATTTTTTTTAACAAAAAAAAAAAGAAGAGATTTACGCTCCATTTGTTTGGATCCATATTTTTTGATATTTGGTACAATAAAAAATGAAAGTTAACTGAAAACATTTTTCATGACCAATGAAAACAAACTTTGTGGAGATATATTTTCTGAGTACTAACACGTGGTCAAGGTGACGCCGACATGTCAACCTATTTTTGATATTTGGTACAATAAAAAACGACAGTCAACTGAAAACATTTTTCATGACCAATGAAAACAAACTTTGTGGGGATATATTTTCTGAGTATCAACACGTGACTAAGGTGACGCCGACGTGTCAACCGAGGTGTCACGTGTCCTGCCCGTGACGCTGAGATTATCTCGATTAGGCCGAGGTTATCTCCAAATATCGAAATCCGGGATAAGCGACCGAAAATATTTTTCATTTTTAAAAGTCAAAAAAACATTTTGTGAACTAAAATTTTACTAATGTTACCATACTCTCACATCCATCACCACACCACCATCACTACCCACAGCCACCATCACTGTTGCCTCATCACCATGTCACCATCTCTATCTTCATTCCACCTACACTAAAAATAAAAAAATATTTTTTTCAACAAACATTTTCTGAATGTAAAATTTTTTACATTAGAAAATGATTTCCGTCCAAACAAACGGAGCTTTATATATCTTGGTCTGGTGAAACAAAACCAAGGTGGAGAAGATAAATATGTGAACATTTAGCATAAGGACCCCAACGGTAACCTATTTTATTGGCGGGAACTACATTGGATTGGAAGAGCATATAAACCAATTACCGAAATTCAGTTGTGAAGATGGTCCCCTGAAACTGAAGTATTTGATGCATTCGATTCCCAGAGCTCTACCATCACTTGCTGATCATATAACGATCATATTATCGAGCAACAGTCTCTTAAGACTCAAGCAATTACACCAAATCCACACTCAACTACTCATCAATGGATGTGTCACTTCTACTTCCCTCCTCATCGACTTTCTCACTTCCTGTTATCGTTCTCAGAAGCATCACCAGTACCCGTTGCTTTTATTGCAGAATCTACCAAAGCCTGACCCGTTTTTATGGAATTCCATGGTTCGAGTTTCGATTGAATCCGAAAATTTGCAAGATTTTCTGGGATTCTACAATGGGTTGCGAGAAAATAATTTGGTTCCCAATAAAAGTACTATTTCTTTAATACTCCGCTCATTTGCAAGCCTATGTGCGACCCATCTCGGAGAATCGTTTCATTGTCAGATACTGAAGATGGGTTTTGTTTCTGAGATGGTTTTGCAAACTGGCTTGCTTGATTTCTATGCGAAAGTTGGGGATTTGGGTTCTGCAAAGATGGTGTTTGATGAAATGCCTGAAAGAGATGTTGTAGCAAACAATGCGATGATATCGGCACTGGGTAAGCATGGGTGTATTGAGGAGGCGCAGAGTTTGTTTGATAGTATGCTGGAGCGGAACTCGTGTTCTTGGAATTCCATGATCACTTGCTACTGTAAGTTGGGTCGAATTGATTCTGCTCGTCAGATCTTTGATTGCAATCCAGTCAGAGATGTGGTGTCATGGAATGCAATAATTGATGGATACTGTAAGTTGGGGCAGCTAATGAATGCTGAGGAATTGTTTTTTCGGATGGGTTCAGCTAAAAATTCTGTCACGTGGAACACCATGATTGCAGGGTATGTTCAATCTAAGGAATTTGGCAGAGCAATTTGTGCTTTCCAACAAATGCAGTCTGAGAGTGTGAAGCCAACTGAGGTAACAACGGTTAGCTTGCTATCTGCATGTGCTCATCTTGGTGCTTTAGATATGGGTGAGTGGATACATACTTATATAAGAAGGAAGAAGTTCAGTGTCGATGTTGTTTTAGGTAATGCTCTTATAGACATGTACTGCAAGTGTGGGTGTATAGAAGCTGCTCTAGATGTATTTTATGGCCTTCGTGTGAAGAACATCTTTTGCTGGAATTCTATTATCGTAGGTTTGGGAATGCATGGTTTTGGAAAGGAAGCTATAGATGTTTTCATTTCAATGGAGAAGGAAAGCATAAAACCAGATGGGGTCACCTTTGTGGGGCTCTTGTCTGGGTGTAGCCATTCAGGTTTAATGTCTGCGGGTAGGAGATATTTCTCTCAAATGAGTAGCCTTTATGGGGTTGTACCTGGAATTGAACACTATGGTTGCATGGTTGACCTTTTAGGTAGAGCAGGTTTTCTTGAAGAAGCTTTGGAACTCATAAAGACCATGCCCATGAAGCCAAATTCAGTTGTCTGGGGAAGCCTACTTCGAGCTTGTCAGGTCCACAAAGATACCAAAGTTAGCGAGCAAGTAACCCAGTATCTGTTGGAGTTGGACCCATGTGATGGAGGAAATTATGTGTTTTTGTCTAATCTGTATGCATCATTAAATCGATGGGATGATGTGAAAATTTGCCGGAGGTTAATGATTGAGAGGGGAGTGCGTAAAACACCTGGATGTAGTTCAATTGAGGTGGACAATATAGCACACGAGTTTGTGGCAGGTGACACTTCACATCCTGATTTCACACAAATTGATGTATTTTTGGATGAGATAGAAAAGAAACTGAAAGGGCATGGGCATAAGCCAGATACAGCTTCTGTGCTCCATGACATAGATGATGAGGAGAAAGAGATTATAATTCGATACCACAGTGAGAGAATTGCTGTTGCTTTTGGACTTATGAACACGCCACCTGGAAAGGCAATTCGGGTGGTGAAAAACCTCCGGACATGTAATGATTGCCATTCTGCGTTGAAGCTTATCTCGAAGGTATTTAAGAGAGAGATAATTGTGAGGGATCGGAATCGTTTTCATCAATTCAGCAATGGGTCTTGCTCTTGTAAGGATTACTGGTGACCGAGATATGTTCTAAGATTTATGCCATCTTCTTATGTTTACAATGGTAATTTATAGCAGACATTCCTATTGGACAAATTTGTGTTGCACTTAGTTGCAGTTTGCAAATGGTAGTGACAATGCATTTTCTTTTTGTCTTTTTAGGTTTCCATCAATGTCTTAGTTGTAATTCAATTGGGATACAAAAGCAGAGTCTGTTTCTTCATTTTTGTCTCTTGACTCTGTTCTATACACATAATTCAATTATTTTAATTCTTACTTTTATAGCATGATCATTTTTTTCCCCTTGTCTCTGCTGAAACATGGAGTGTAATAGGGTTACAATTAATGTGACTGGTGGAGTCAATGTCCTATACGTTTTATTGGGTCTTATCACAGGTTTTTAGCTATCAAATAGTGTATAAAGGAACATATGCAATATCTCTTTACATATTCTCTGTTACTATTTTGAAAGCAAGAAGCATTTTATTCCCGAGTACTTCTCCAATTCAAGAGTAATAGATCAATTCCCTTTTCGTTTTCTTTCATTATTGTCATCCTGAATTTGTTCATTAATCCATGTTGGAATTTGTAATGCAAGTATAGTTAGAATTAAAGTGTCCAACTATGGGCCATCTTCTGAATTTACCATAAAGGTTGCTTGTCTCCTGCTACTTTCTTTGGCTGGTAATACCTGCTGGCATTTAATGGTCCATCCATGATCCATGAGGGTTGCCCCATCTTGGATGGATACCATTCACCATTGTGGTTCATTTTATGAGCTTATGGAAAATAAAAGAAAAGAAAAGAAAAGAAACTGCCAGGAATCTTCATATGAGATGATCTTGTTCTTTCTTTCTTTATTGCATGTTGTATAATGAGAACTATCTTTTGAAGTTATTGGAGAAAGACTTTTTGTTGGACCTTTCAGATGTTCTAATCTTTAGGCACCTTGTTCAAGTATCTGTGAAACACTCACGTTATCTTGCCACTATTCCGCAATCCTTCATATTATTTTGTTTCCTGAGTCTTGCAAGTTGCAATAAAGTCTATTTTATTATTATTTGGTGTTCAACAATCTCAGTCAATCTCATATCTAATATTTAAAATGTTTGGAACTTTTAGAATGCTTTTGGAGGCTCTTTTATAATTTGTCTCATGAATGTTGAAACAAACTGAAGAGAGGCACTATTCCATTTCTTTTCCCCTTGTCTTCATATATCAGGCTGATTCACGGCACGAGGAGTGTCTTGTTGAACAATTTGACTATTTGTTTGTGCCTCTTTGCTCGGTTAGATTTCTGATTTTATTTCTTGGTATAGTCTAATTTTTGAAGTGAATAGAGTTGGTAGACTTTCATTGATTTATTCTTCAGCAATTACATTGCAGATCGCATCACTAAAACAATTTATTTCTCTAGCAGTGATTTATTTTAATAATTTTACAGCATTTTAAAGTCCTAATGTTATACAACGTCAATTCACAATAGAGTTGGATAATTCTGACTGTGGAGTTGTCAATTCACTCAGAGGTTCAGAGCAGAAGTTTTTCCGATTGGATGTGCGGTTTAAGTCAACCAACCTATCAAAATCAAATAAGTTTGTTAATAATTTTTCATTTCACTCATAATTTTGAGTTATTTATACATGTTCTTGTTTCCATTAGTTTAATTATTTTTCTACACAAATGCTTTGGCAGGTTGATACCTGTGCAGCCTCCTACTATAACTTCAAGCTGGACAAAATATGGTCCCAAGGTATTTTCTTAATGAAATGAAATTTGTGACATTGACGAGCAGTGGGTGCATGGTGTGCCTGTTACAGTGGAACTTTAGGCTTGTTTGGTGCAATTTTTCTCAAGTTAGAAGTTTGATTATCAGAAAATAGAATCTAAAAGCACTGATTTCCCAACTTTCAGATAATTAGCCTTTTCTAGCTTATTTATGCTCCGTTTGTATAGACGGAAAATATTTTTTGGAAAATATTTTCTGTATTTTCTGGCATTTGGTACAATGGAAATCAAAAGTCAACTGAAAAATTTTTCATGGTCAACAAAAAACAAGCCTATTTGGACAGAAAATGTTTTCCACTTTTATAAGGCAGAAAATATTTTACGGACTGAAATCTTACCAATGTCACCACACTACCACTGCTACTCACCTCCACCACCACACAACCATCACCACAGCCACTGCCACCATCATTGTTGCCATCACCACCGCTGCCGTCCCACCACCGAACAGAGAAAAGTATTTTCCACTTAAAACAAATGGAGTGTTAAGTTCTTATAACTCCCAAAATAAAAGATTTTTTTTTTTTGAAAAAAAAGAAGCTATAAGCAGCCTCTGTAAGTTGCACCAAACAGCTCTTTCAAATTAAATCTGCTGTGGCAATGGCCATTTGGTTAGAGGTAGCGCTGTACAGACATAGCGTGTGCTAAGTTATGGCTTTGGGGCAGTTTATAAGTGTCTTTCTTCCCTACATGTCAAAGCATAGGGCATGGTAAACTAGAATATTCTAATCCATTGGAACAACATGTTCACTCTTTAGTTTCAGAATTTTGTGACCCATAAAAGATGCAAGTCCCACATGTGTTTCCTCTTAAACATGTATACGCACATGTGTGCATGTATGTATATATGGTGAGGAGTAAAGATTTCACATGCGACATCCATGACAATGCTCTCAAATTTCTTAATCATCTCAGTCTGACTTGTGAAATTAATTTACCAGTGGAAGTTTTCAAGAGACTGATTGATTTCATCCCCATTTTGTAGGATATTTATATGATAGTGAGAGTTGTGGGGTTTAAAGCTTCTTAAGAGCTGGAACATTTTTTTTACCCGCCAACAGTTTTCAAGGAAAAAAACAAGAAGATGATTGCAAGAAGCTCAGATCTTCCCAAGAAATCCATCAAATTGAAGCAAGATAACAAATTCTCTTCTAGGCCCCCATCTAGAGAGATCTCGGTGACCACCTCTGTGGAAGTCTACTATGGAGGAGCTTCTGTTGGTGTACCATTTTCGTGGGAATCTCAACCGGGGACGCCTAAAGTCAAGTTCAACGAAAACCCGCTTCCTCCTCTTACGCCTCCACCTTCCTTCCATTTTAATTCCACGAAAAACTGCATAAAAAAACACTCAAAGCGCAATCTTTTCCACACTATTCTCCCTATGTTCTATCTGAGGAAAGCCAGTCACCCACAATCTCCTGCATCATCATTATCATCATCATCATCATGGTCATCGTCACGTTCTTTGCCTTCTTCTCCGTTTACTCCTCCAAATATATGGGGAAAGTTCCATGAGGAAGACGAACATGGATCACCTGTTTCAACATTGTGCTTTGGGATTGGTCGTGGTACAACAGCTAGGCCCCGAGGTTGCTCTTCAAACATAATCAAGGTACTGCTCAGAGAATTTGCATGAACCACTGTCATTTTTGGCTTCAATATGCTTTTCTAAAGATTCTATGATATCATGTAATGGAAGGCTATTGATGATATTAGCTGTTGTTAACCTTATAAGAAATAAGTAGTTTTTGAAAAGAATTAGATTCATGCTGAAGTGGATGCTAATAATGTTTACTGATGCTATTATCATCTTCTCTTCTTTATGCATGAAACCGGGGCTTCAGATTAGGCACTCCTTTCCTTTTTTGTTTTTGTTTGTGCAATTGTTAGTTGCTAGGTCTGATCAGGTGAACATGGTGCTTAATCTCATGGGAAGAATTTCAAGTCTCTGGTACGCTCTTTATTAGACTAACAATTAATCATTTAGGCTATGACATAGCCTTGAGATCGGATTAAGAATCTAACAAAATAAATAATCTCACGTTTGTTTGGCTAGGAAAATTGTGGTCCAGACAATCTTAGAATCACTCCTTGGATTATGAATCTAACGAAATACATTATCAGTCTTCTATGCCTTCCATGCCACAAGGATGAGTGTGGATTTTTAGACTACTTGAAATAGACTTGTACCAACAAAACTAAAAAACGTTGATATGTATTTCCGTATTCTACAAATGGCAATAGTTATGAGATGGGTGGAGTTGACTTGACTCCCCTAATCGGTTAGATGAAAAGCAAGTCTGTCAATCCATCCTTTTTGTGTGGCCTCAATGGCCATGTACACATGTAGACTACTGAATAATTTTTGTGGCAAACTAGACTATATGATGATGTATTTTGTATAGTTGGCTGCATTGTTTATGATGATGATGAAAATGTCTTCTCTGTTTTGTTAAAGTAAGAAGAGTACATATGGGTACAGAGTACAGATTCGTCTTAATTAGGGCATGTGAAATGTGAAAGACTGAGAAGAACAACTGAACAGGTCAGAGAGTGGAAGCTTCGGATGGGAATTATTAATTAGGTCAAGATTTATTAATAAATAGGTTGTCAGATAGTTATTAAAGTGTGTACAAATGAGATCTGTTCCTCTTCATTAATTATGATCCTAAACTTAGGATGGAATCACGCGAAAGCCACATGAGTTGGGTATTTTTTTATTCATTTACCCCTAGAGCTGCAAATGAATTAAATTGTTCATGAACAACGAGTTTGGGATGTTTAAAGTTTGTTTGATTTTGGTTAGTAATCAAGCCGACCTTGAGTGGACTTTGAGTAGACTCAAGCTCTAAAAGTCTTGAGTAGCAAATGAATTAATATTTATTTTTAATAATATATTAAATAGTTTGTTATTAATTTATTTAATTTTTCTATTTGTGTTTGGTATTTGTGTGAATTTATATATTTGATTGATGAAATTTAATTTAAAGTTTAATTTTTTTTCGAGTTTAAGCTTCAGCTTCAGCTTCAGCTTGAGCTCAACTCATTTATGTAATCAAGTTGATTCAAGTCGAGTTAGAGTTTCTCAAATACTTTGTTAAATATAGTAATTATATATTCTGTCTATCATACATATCATATTGTATTCATTACCATAAGGATTACCATAATTAGATTTATCTTCTCTTATATAAAGGAGTCTTGTATACATTGTTACATAATTATTCAACACAATATTGAATATACATATCATATAATATTCTCTCTCTCTCTCTTAGATATTGTAACATGATATCAGAGCTATAAGTTAAGCTCTTGGTGTTCTTCACTTACCAACGGGCCCGCCTGTCGGACCTCAACCCATTTCACCGCTATATTTTCCTTTTTGGTATCGTTTCGTGATAATATATTCCTCTGTTCGCTGGTTTATTCTTATCCAAAATATCTATATCATATTTTTTTTATTCGCAATCCTTCTATTTATTTATTTATTTATTATTTTTTTTTTTGTGCTTCTGCTTCACTCTATCTTTTTCTCTATTTCAGCCTCAAATAGAAATCTATCTTCAAACCTATTTAAGTTTGAGGGGGGGAGGGGGGGATATTATACCCATATCATGATAAGCATAGCTATACGCCATGCTAACCATCCAAGCCGCCCCCTTGGCGCACAACCTAAGCCGCCCTCTTGGCGCACTTCCTAAGTCGCCTCCCTTGGCGCACTCTTTAAGCCACTCCTTTGGCGCACTCCCTAAGCCGTCTGCTTGGCGCATTTTGTTCCTTTCCAAGCCACCCTTTAGCTCAAATGGTTTATCTGTTGCTATCATCGTTTAGCATCACGTCATGAGTTACATATGTGCCACATTTGTTGGTTCAACACTCGTTATACTTCTATAACGGTCTGACACGATCATAAATTGTCTCCCTGCATTAGCTCTATTATCTCCGGCCCTATTTCTACAACAGTCCGACATGATCATAAATTGTCTCCCGACATTAGCTCCGGCCTTTGATCTACCCTCAAGCACCTATGTGCTCCCATTTGGACTTTGCAATCTATTTACTCGGATCTATCCATACTTTATTTTATTTTTAGTTATTTCATGTTTTAGGTTCTTTTTCCAAACTCAAGTTGGTGTCCCTACTTAAGTTTGAGGGGGGTGTTAAATATAGTAACTATATATTCTGTCTATTATACATATCATATTATATTCATTACTATATTTAGGATTACCATACTCAGGTTTCTTTCCTCTTATATAAAAGAATCTTATATACATTGTCACATAATTATTTAACACAATATTGAATATACACATAATATAATATTCTCTCTCTCTCTCTCTCTCTCTCTCTCTCTCTCTCTCTCTTAAATATTGTAATATTAGGAGTGTAAAAATGACCTGTGGCTCGCTCCCAAGCATTTTTCTATACACATAATATAATATTCTCTCTCTCTCTCTCTCTCTCTCTCTCTCTCTTAAATATTGTAATATTAGGAGTGTAAAAATGACCTGTGGCTTGTGGACGGTCCGAAGTCCGCCCGCCGCCCGGGTGGGCCTAGCCCGTTTAGGCCCGAGCCCGAGACCCTGGGCTATGGTTATCATTTTGAAGCCTGGCTCGGCCCACCTGGTCCGGCTCGTGGCCCGGCCCATCGGTTTGCTTAAGGCCTACTTAAGGCCCTGCCCGTCCAAGGCCTAGTGTCTTTTTTGGTGAAAAATAATAAAATTTTGGTAGAAAAAATAAAAAAACAAAAAAATTTGTTCAGGCCCACCTAAGCCCGCTCCAAACGAAGCGGCCTATCCCGCCCAAGTCCCGAATACCCCCTGGGCCTAATTTTTTTGATCTGTGGCCAAGCCCGAATTTTGGCAGGAGCTTGCGAGGCCCAATATGGGTCAAGTCGGACCAAATTTACACCCCTATGTAACATACTTGATGAGTCAATCTTGAACTCAAGCTCAATTATTTAGACTCGACTTGAGCTTAGTGAATGACCTTACAGCCAAAAGTTCGGCTTTGCTCGTTTACAAATTGCACCCCTCGAATCAAATGCACTTCAATTATGCTTTGAGGCTTTTGAAGCCCTTCATTGGAGTGCGGGGGCGAAAACAATCCAAATTAAAATTTTGAATTGTGTTTAAATTTTGGATTTAGGAAGGACTAGTGTTTCACCAGTGCTATGTACGGATTGTGTTTACAATTATTTGTATATATGTGAATTGTGATTTTTAAATGTCTTATTCTTTTTTTTTTTGGCATACAGAAAAATGAATATAACAAATGCAGCATATTTTCAATTAATTATTTTATATTTGGTTTTTTTTTTCAAAATTTAAAAGATAAATGCTATGTATCGCAAATATTTTACCAAACCTCTCACATGGGCTCACACAAATCCACGTGTAGGTCCCACACCCATATGAGAGGTTTGGTAGAATATTTGAGGTTCCTAGCATAACTCAATTTAAAAATAATGTATGGGCAAAATTTATAACTGAATTAATGAAAAATTTATTCCTAACGACAATTTTTTACTTCTATATAAATACTTTAAAAAATAAACCTGAAAAATATAGTCAATATAATATTATACATTAAGTAAAAAAATGTGATAGCAATTATGCTTACATAAATTTATTATAGATTTAATTTCAAATTTTTTTTAAAAGAAAAAAAAACTATTTTAAAAGTATTTTATTTAGCTAGTACCAAATAGAATTTTCTTATTAAAAAGAAAATTTATAAAATTTTGTTGCAAATTTTCAAATGTCTACTGATATACATTCTATTATACTTCTTTGTTTGTTTGCTTGCTTATTTTAAGAGTTTTGATTTTTGATCTTTGCTCCACATTCATTGTATTATTTTATTTATTTTTTTCTTCTTCTTACATGATTTTCACATGATATTTCTTTCATAGTGCATCTCCGAGTATATTAGTGAAAATATCATACACTTAAAATGCACAAAATTACAATATATAGAAGAAGAAGAAAAAAAAAAGTAAGTAATTGCTCAAAATTAAAACTACTTTAAGAAAAAATAAAAAATAAAAACAAAAATAAATTTGTTTGAAATAGAAAATGATTTACTTATTTATTTATTAATTTTTTAAAAATAAACTTTTAAAGGAAACAAAGAAAACTATATAAAAAAAAAATACATAAATCAAACATAAAGTATAATACAAAAAATAAATGAATTATAGGATTTTCAAAAAATGAGATTCACAAATAAATTTTGTAAAATCTTGCCTATTCATGTACTTTTTGTGTATATTTTTTGTACTTCTAACTCCGAAAAAGACATTGAAATAGTCTACACTTCTTGCATTAGATCCATCTAATAGCTTTAGTAAACACAGATGTAATAATTTCATAATACAAAACACAAACAATTGTAAAACAAAGGGTGTGTTTGGTTTGTGTTTGTAGAGTAATTTTTGAGATAAAAAGTACGAAAACTTGTTTGGTTTGTCTTTTTCAGAAATAGTTTTGGAAAATTATTCTGGGGAGAGAGTTTTAAAAAAAGTGATTGATTTGATGTGTATGAGAGAGAGAGAGTGATTTTGGAAAGTAGGTAACCAAACAAAGTTTTGAGATTTTTTTTGAAAAAAATTGTTTGGTTTGATTATTCTTGAAAATTTGTTTGCATAGAAGCAACGTTCAATGATAATGTAGAAGCACACTTGATGTTTTAATTGGAGGTATAACTAGATAAATCGCTATAGAAGGGGAAGACAATATTTATTTTTTATCACAACAATT